ATTGTAACCGACTACGTAATCCACGAAACAAGGTGACGTCACGTTTTATGTGCACACGAATGGGTGATGATTGCAAATGGCTTCGGTAAACAAACGTTTCATTCAAGAGAGGAATATATGGCATTTTCAATTTGCTGAATCAATGAATAAAATAATCAGTGAGCATACAACATGAAATCGTGCATTTGAAATATGATTTTCGCCGCACTTCCCTTATATCCACGAATCAAGGTTACGCGAATGTATTTCCTTATCAAGGTAACGTGATATTCTACAAGATACACTATAAATTATGTCTGAATAGATCCCCGGTGGTGACATACTATTTTATGGAGTTCAGGTGGTCAGGAGTGGTATTGACACAAATAACAAACAAATTATCGCTCCGAATGCGAGATCACTGAAAGTCTCTGTTTTAGTCTCGGACATAACACTGAAATTTCATCACGGCACATTACCTCAACACAACACTACCGTTAAGTATATTGGCTTCCAGCAAAGCATCATAAGAGCATCACGGTGAATCAACACCATCACCCGGTATCATACAATAAAGTATTCCCCGAAATAGAATTAGAGCGACGCGAGTATAATAATCTCACAAAATATGCGTGGGACATTAAAGAGCTTATGACGCTGTCACCGAGTACCATAGTACAGCAAACAATGGCGGGAAACACCATAGTAACTTCCCAGTCCCTCCCCAGTCCCTCCCCAGTCCCAGACCGCACGGAGCGTAATAGAAATCCACGAGTATCATCGTGTTTCATGAAAAGTCCAAATTATTCTCCGGATTATAATAATGGACTTGAATCCAAACTTCTCCTTGCTAATACGTTGGTTTTGTCATCAGTCTATCCTACGTTCAGCGTGACTGTGGTTTCACCACACGTTAACGACCTGCATTATTCGGGCATCATGGTAAGCCAACACTGTCATCGGACATCATGGTAAGCCAACACTATCATCGGACATCATGGTAAGCCAACACTATCATCAGACATCATGGTAAGCCAACACTGTCATCGGACATCATGGTAAGCCAACACTATCATCGGACATCATGGTAAGCCAACACTGTCATCGGACATCATGGTAAGCCAACACTATCATCGGACATCATGGTAAGTAACCCATCACTACCATCATGGTAAAGGTCATCGGACACTAATCATCGTACATCATGGTAAGCCAACACTATCATCGGACATCATGGTAAGGTAAGCATCAACACACTATCATCGGGCATCATGGTAAGCCAACACTGTCATCGGACATCATGGTAAGCCAACACTGTCATCGGGCATCACAGTAACCCATCATATCATCGCATCATCGTATGCCAACATCACTGTCATCGGACATCATGGTCACAACACTGTCATGGACATCAGACTCCATTATATTACAGGACACCGCCAACATATATCATCGGACATCATGGTGCTGATATGCGGCGCCAACACTAATCATCGGACATCGGACATCATGGTAAGCCAACAATATATTGAATCATGGTAGCCAACACTATCATCGGACATCATGGTAAGACAACACTATCATCGGGCATCATGTTAAGCCAACACTGTCATCGGGCATCACAGTAACCCAACACTATCATCGGGCATCATGGTAAGCCAACAATATCACAGGGCATCACAGCAGCCCAACACTATCATGGGGCATCACAGTCAACTCAGTACTACTACTAGACACTACTATTATGGTAACTCATCACTATCATCGACAACATAGTGTTACACAACACTATCATAGGGCACTAAAGTCAACACCAACAACGCTGTTATAGCATCCAACACTACCTTCCGGCATCAACAGTACTACATCCAACGGTACTACGATTACAACTTTAGCAGCGTATTCTGACACAATACTATCTTAGCGTACTAAAGCTTCCCATCACTGTAATCGACAAATACAGTAACAGTACACTATCATGGAACATCATTTAACCCAATGCTACCATCGGACATGTCAGTCTATAAACAGCATAGTAGCCTAACACTACCACCAAGCAGGGCAGTACCATGACGCTATCATGGAGACACACACTATGTCAACGTATGCACGGATCAATATAGTAACCAAACTACAGCAGTAGTAGATCTAAGACAGCGTATGACTTGTTCCAATGCAAGCACGGGACTAAACCGTAGTAAACTGGTCTGATCATTTTCTTCTAATACTCCAAACATTGCGGTATAGGACTTGAGCACAATGGTCATTTCAATACTCACTTGAATCCAGACAATTGTAACCCTCAGCTATAACATGGAATAACATAGTACTCATAGTAAGTCATTAGGACGTATAGAACCACGTTAAACAATTATATATAATAACATAATAATTATTGTAGGGAAAATTAAGCATACAACATATATAGCACGAAGGCTGTGGTACCTAGTTATAGATGGATTTTTATTGTACCCAGCTATTCCAATATATGGAGAATAATAATACTCCGTTATAGCGTGGGTGATACATTATCCATTTAAGCATAGAGAATTAAAGAAAAGAACTTTAGAACGGTAAATTATAGTAGGATACTATAGGTATAGTTTTGATGTTATTGCCTGAAAGGTTGATATATGACAAGATGCTATGAATGGTCCTGGTGTTCACAGCAGCCCAAGTCTGATCTAGGTGACAACTTATGGAATCTGAAGAATAAATGATTCCACCAAATTAGACAAACCACTCTCCTTTTTTCTGAAAATGCTGGCTCGGTTATCAAGCTTACTTAGAAATGATAATTTATTCTAGATGATAAAAACCTAAATCTCTGGGATTGCCTTTTGGCAATTCCGTAATCCTCTTCAAATGGTTCCGTTAATGGTAGAGTAGACTTGTTCTAAGGGATAGCCATAGTTTCAGTAATGTTAGTTAATGATGTAGGCTAATCCCCTGTACGCAAGATTTCACTTCAAAATTGCTCATGTCGGTCCCATAAATTATTGTGTTGTTTTAGAGAAAAACGGGGAAATTCCACATTTAGGCACTGGTGGATTCTGTAAATGTAAGCAGCGGTACTGGGCAACATGATGCGGGTTTAATTGCAGCTGTGAACATTTAGTTGCGTTGTATGTTATTAATAAACGACGAATACAGACACCCCTGTCAAAGTAAAAGGGTTCTACATGTAGGAGCCTGGAATTGGCCTATTCTGGTAAGACGCGACGTCATGAATCGGGCGGCGAATGGTTGACGGCACTTTTTTTTCACTCTAACACCGCCTACTCCAACCTAAAACGTACCGCCGCCGCACTCATCAAGCAGGCCCAGCATATAATATCTGCCAGCAATATCCCAGCTGTATGGCGGCGGTCTATAAATAATCGAGTCTGGACCAGACAATCCAGTGATCAACAGCATGAGCATCGATCTGCGCAATTGGGAACCGATGACATGTGTCAACGAAGTCAGCGAGCCTGACCACCCGATCCCGTTAGTCACCTCTTACGAGAAGCATGGGTTACTGAAGATAAATTCTAACCCGGTTCTTCACGGCTCCAATGCAATACTAAGTAGCATCATCTGGACATACATAATTAAAGCTGATTCAGCACAGAAATATTGCGGCCACGTCCCACTGAGGGCTTGAAACAATTAAAATAAAAATGTGTTTCTTGTTTCCAACAAACCTGTGTGTAGTTACAGTTGGTATTGTCAAGTGCGTAAAGCCTTATATCTGCATCACGTCAGGCCTATCTCCCCGACTGTAAACGTGTTCACAATAAAACACAATATGCATACACTACCTTCAACAGAAAGTCTGTCTTTCGAAAACAACCAGACACTAAAACCTATCTATGTTACATATTGTTTCAGACCAAAAGTAGTGAAATACTAATGATCTAAATTCCTGTGAGTTTTCACCTACCAAGATTGTTCAACGAAAACACGTTCACCAGACCAAGCATCTGATCTAATGACATAAATATATTGCAAATACATTAGAAACATATACCACTAAAACTGAGTGAATATGTCTTTACGCCGCTTTTAGCAATATTCCAACAACATCACTTCGGGGAACACCAGAAATGGGTTTCACACATTGTACCCATGTGGGGAATCGAACCCGGGCCTTCAGTGTGGTGAGCGAACACTTTAACCACTAGAATACCTCACCGCTCTGTACCACTATAAGTCAGATTAAGCATTTCTATTTTGTGACTCGCGATTTTGACTTCTACTAATGTTTAATTTCATTACGTTACAATGGTACATTGTGTGATTGGTAACCAACGCTGATACACTATAGCGTCATTTCTGTAAGATGGCGAACGAGAAACTTAATCAGAAAATATTACAATTATCCTAATGCATTTGTTCAATTTCAATAGTTGATGTTTCTCCACACCACTACAGAAGGAACAAGCGATTAAGCGGATAACGTTAAGATTTCATTATTCATCAAAATGTTATTTTATATCAATGAAAATCAGAAACCATCATTAGGGTTCAAAGTATGTGACCATTAAAATTAATTATTCAGTGCCTAATGAAAATGCAATACAAGGCCATGTTAAAACGTATCGTTTAGTGCGTTCTTGTAGCGGTAGAATCATGGAGGAAGCTGTATGAGATGTGGAAAGGTGGGACTGAAGGTGGGATAGAGACCCAGTGATATTGTCAACTGCTTTCAAACAGTACAACTGCCTTGTCCCAACGGGGAGTGTGTTTTTACAAGCAAATCGTTTGTTGCCATTGAGGACAGCGTTCTCTCTACCACCGCCCCGCGAGGTTCATCAAAGTCGACGTGAATGTAAGAGAAACAGTATCTCTGGATTAGAGTCCTCTTTCGCTGCTTGTGGTACATGGACACTGTGATGTAAAACTTCGTTTTTTCATTGTAGAACACATCGCTCTAGCAAGCTTTTCTCTCGTAGCGCGGAATGCCGCGGGAATAATTAGTATGGAAATTGATTGGCCCGCGCGACAGTGAATGAATTAAGAATTGATTGGTGTAATGCTACAACGGTGGCGACAAGGCGAGCGGGTGACGTTCCGGAGGAGGGAGGGGCGGTTCAAGACATCACTCACAAGGAACGCTGTCATTAACACAACATCAAACAGAACGTTTCCAGGTTCCGCTGACCACTGTCCAGCGAGCGAGCATCAGGTGTCACTTCTCTCAGAAATGATGTGATTCCAAATTACTGCAACCTGTTAATTGACTTGTCGGCCGTGCTGTAAACCGAACGATCTAAGACAACCATTAAGAAACAAGTGCTCGTCATTTTCAACGAAGGATATACCGTTAAGGCAAGAGTGTCATATTAGAACAGTAAGACCAATTCACAGTTCTATGTGAAATGTTAATGGATCCAGTACTGATACGTCTTTTTCTGGGAATAGGACACGAACGTTGGGATCATATGATACACACGAGGGGCGTTGTGGCACCCGCACCCAATCCGACGGCAACGTGTCATATTCGGCCTATGTGATTGCATGTAACCCAGATAGATGCACGTCCAAGTTCAATAGCACAACTGTAAATCCGACAGGAGTCTTACATTACAGCCTTCGATTTTACGCTTGAACTTTCAGAAAGGCCACTTCATGCACAGAGGAGTGTTCTGAAAATTTTATTATTTTTTTTCATTCGTGCAACATGTTGTAAAAATGACTTGATGAACTATTTAGCAGTCTGAATGCATAGAAGTGGATTAAATCTGGCTTGAAGCGAATGTGAGTAGACATAAAATCCCGCATAACTAGCAAGAACGGAACGGCCAATGAACGAAGCCTTTGACGGTATCTCGCCGAAAGCTAAGACTGTGAACTAGTTGCTGGAAGACCATCTCGAAGGTTCAACTTCCTAAACTGATAACGGACAACCGGTCGTACGGGCAAGTGCAGAGAATGGCTAACGTAGATCTACGAGCACTTATCAAACTTTTAGGTGTTCTCCTCGTTTTACCTTTAGTCGCCGATGCAGGTAACGCCACGGAAAAGGCCTGTCCAGTCAAGTTGAGGGAAACTGTTAAATCGGAAGGGTGAGTTTTTTAAACTTTTAACTTTTTTACTCACGCCGCTCAAATTACTCGGTTTTTGAAGGGTGGTTTTGTGTTTAAAATAATGAAGTTTATCATTGTTTTATGTACAGGTTCTCTGTGGGGTCCGACCTTGAGATATTTGCTCGACTTGTATTCATGCTATGTTCTGTAGCCCTGTTTGCATAACATTTCTCAGGAGGCTCTCATTTCAAGGTGACTCACCTTTTCACGTAACCAAGGGTTCATTACTTCACAGCTGTCAAAATAATGACGTCAGTTTTCGGCATGGTGTAACCTTGAAATAAATGTTTCAAGATTGTTGTTTTTCTTCTCTGAAATAAGGTCAAAAACTCAGCTCGCTAATAAGCAACTTGAAAACTAGTACTAAGATTTTATCAAAGATATGACTGCACAGTTAATAGAAAACCGTATTTCGACTAAAATCGGAACCTAAAATTCCACTTTTTCACATAATGAGCATTGGAGTGTCAATGGATGGTGTCCTGTTGCCAAACCTATCAGCCTCATCTGATAGCATAGCCTGTATCCACGAGCAGGTCATAAAGTGGGGACGAGGGGGGCAAGCCAGGTTGATTGTCTCCAACAAGAAACAACGATAGTAATCAGAAATCACCAAGACTGTGCCACTTATCCAGAAAGACGGACACATGAAGTGTAGCCGAAAACCGATAAACGTTAAATGATGGGAGATCTTTCCTCACTCTGTTAACGGGGAATTTTGCCTCTAATTTAATCACTTGGCAATTTACAAGCAACGACTCCATTAAATAGTGAATGAAGGTTACACTCAGCGGTGGCTCCCTTTCCAAGAAAGCATAACAAACCAACTGCTTCTCACGAAAGTTGATTGTTATTTAGTTTTTCGATAATTGCAAATTTCATACAGTAGTTTTTTGGGCCTCGTTAAAGGTCGTTACTTAGAGTGGCGACGACAGTGAAACTAGTTGAGGCTAAAGATAAAAATTCGATACAGGGTTAATGACGGAAGCGTTACGTTTAGTGGTCATTTAATGAGCTGTCGTTAAAACATGTCGGAGGTGGCCCTCGTTGTTCAGGCTGCAATATCGGGTGTGTAATAGAGAGAGATTGTGGTTGTATAGGCTGACATTGATCCTGATTATAAACAGATAGATTTAATTAAGATATTTCTTTTTTTAAATGGAAATTTCTTTTATTCCTTTCAGTGGAATTCATTCTAATGGAACTGGATATCATTGACACATGTTTATCAATTATGTAAGGGTGGTATACAATCTTTACTTCCAGAAGATGTCAAGTGATAGTTGATCTCTTGTGATACATTCAGGAGACAATCCTACATTTCTTTGAACTTTTTTTCAGTTACAGTGCTTTCTGCATGGCATATAGGAAACGTTACTGGCACTGTAGCTCACATTATCATTTGAAACTGTACACAGCAGGCTTTGGAATTTCAGAAAGACAAATTTTGTTTTGAAAGAAGCATAAATCTAAGTATTAGTACGCTCGGGACAATATGTATGGGTGCGGAACATGTATACGATACCACCACCAAATGGAAGTTTTCCATTTTAAGGAATTCATTATTGTCACATAAATTGCAACAGTGAAATCCACTTAACTCGAAGTATAACATCCCAATGAATTGTTCATTACCCTGTATCTGTACGTCCCCGACAGGATCGTTACCGGTAGTCATTATATCCATACTCTTCTCCCCTGCACTACTGATAGCTCGAACTGTATTCATTCTAATAGCAATACATACACTTCCAATGGCTGATATATGTGAGGTACTACCGAGAAAGGATGTTGCTTGAATCTTTCATTGCCATATATCTGTGTAGTCCCCACAGGACCGTAATCGACACTGTCATTGCATCATACTATTCTCTCCTGCACTACGGATAACTCGAACTGTATTCAGCCTAGTAACAATACATACAGTCCCAATGGCTGATATCTGTGAGAGAAGCTGTCGCTTGATTTACGGTGTCTGTAAGCAAACATTGCAACGCACGGACATGTGATTATGTAATGATATAAACGAGCGATTTGACAGATTGATGCAAGGGAGAAAACATACAGCGATATCTTCATTGCAGTACCCACGCCTTCCATATCCCAGGTTAGCATCCTTTTTAAAACAGGTTGCTGGAAGATTTAACTTGCCGTGCTTATGGCAAAAGGAACAAATTCTTCTACCTATCTGGTAGAGTTTGGTGCTTGGGCGTAATTCTAATGTGTTTCCTATTTTCGGTTAGCTAGGGCATTTTTATTCCGTTTCCATGACAATCGTTGAGTTGCCTGTGTGAGTATACAAATACCCTGTATTATGCGTAAAAGTTGTAGTATTGTGTTATGACGTGATTATTGAATGGCTGAAGTATGGATTCCACATGACATATATTCATTATGTAGAGACAGTTGTATGGAAACGTCTACTGTATGGTAAACGATACCATCATATGTTTAATTCACGAAATCGTGTTCACCTAGAAACCAGATTTGTGTACATTTCCAGCCTGCGGTATATACAGCAGAAGCTTAGACTAGAATAGTCAGATAGTTTATATAATATATATGTGGCATTATAAGAATCATTTTGTGTATCGTGAAAGATAAATAATATCCCTATAAAAAGTGGAGTAGTATGTATGTATGCTGTACCGTTATTTCCTATTTTGGGGGCAGTGGGGTTGCCTAGTGGCTAAAGCGTTGCTTCGTCACGCCGAAGACCCGGGTTCGATTCCTCATGTGGGTACAATGTGTGAAGCGCATTTCTGGTGTCCCCCGCCCTGATATTGCTGGAATATTGCTAAACGTGGCATAAAACTAAACTCACTCACTCACTCACTGCTATTTTGGTCTACAGAATTCATTGATAAGCGTGTGTGGTGTTAGTATAACTGGCAGTGAAAATAAAACACCAATGCAGCTGAAGGACTAACACGTCCTGTTAGTAACTTTAATTTCCTGATCCACGGTTAAGGAACCTGGGTGCCGTTGTACAAAGCGATCTTAGCGCTAAGGTGGCCGTAACTCCCATATCTTAACACAGGCTTAAGGTAGCCTTAGTGCTAAGGTTGTTTTGTACAACGGCACCCTGCACATTAGGTGAAATATAGTCTAAACAGCCAGGACCTATGAATGAAGCCGTGATGAGGATGCAATATTCCAGATGAGACGTTATGCAAATCTCTCAATAAATAATAGGCAATAGTTTTTCACCAGAACATTTGACTGTTGAAAGAACACCGGGTGTTAACACGGTGATCATTGATTCCCTTCGTCCCTTCAATGACTGTGTAAGACCCCTAAAAGAGTACATACCGGCTAGAAGACGCTTCGTGAACACCAGGTGTCCATTACGAAAGCTTCCCGTGATATTTGTTTCATTTCGTCACTTACAGTGAGGATAAATGCAACAATACATGGTAAACCGTTACGCAAACACCAGGTTTTAGTTATACCGTTGGATCCATTTTCGTTTTAGTTTGCACTGTACAGAACGTTTTCCTTACCGTGACGATTTTCACCGACTTCCGCTTTGATGACAGCTCTGACCTTTCAGTTTCATGACCATCAGTTTTGTAATTCCATCTGCAGCATCGTTGTCATGGCAAAGAGTCGGACTGTTTCAAAGGCTTGCGCTGTGTTGAGATAATGCCGGTTTGACTGAATGGAATTACTCTCTCACACATCTTCTTTGTAACTAATTGTCTTGATGTGGTTTGTCAGGAACTTTCAAAATAAAATTAATACATTGCCATACAACCTTCCAGGGTGATTATTTAACGACATTCGACCTTAACGAATGACAAACAACAGAACCCCTGATTTATATGCATTACAACAACGAAACTATCCTTACAGCTTCGGTGTATCTCATATTCAGGTAATGATCTGTGAGGCCTCATTTTGCTGTTTCTGGGACGTTTGAAATACTCTGCTATGTGTACACCTGTTCGCGTATATTCTCAAGAATCTGAAAATATGCCTGTAACGTTTCGATCATTTCACTTTGAAGCTTTATCTCAGATTCTAAACCAATGACTGTTCAATGTATAGTGTCCATGAGTTGGATCCATGAGTTGCATTGTTAACAAGTCCTTGTCATAATTACCTGACACAAAGGATATATATTAGTCTAATATAAAACGCCAGAGGATACTGAGTCTCGATTATCCGAAATACATTCCATTGGCCGAAAAAGGTAAAATAACTGTGAAAATGATTTGAATGGATAACTGAAAAATCAGTGATGGCACTAGGGGTTAAGCCAATTTCACTTCTCCGCTGGTACTTCAAACAGCTTGAAATATTTCCTCCGATCTGAAAAACTTCAACTCTGTGAGATTCCATGTTAATGAAAACTAACTCCATCCATTGTAATCATGGCACTAAACAGAACGACTCTGCAATGTAGAACTAGATCTGTGGCATCTTTCTGTGGCGTAAATCAGGAAATCCAAGTCTAGAGTCTCATTCTCGTTCTCTTCCGTGTAGACTTTTTATTGCTACTTTGCGCAACCATTTTAACTAACCGCATGGCCTTAACAGCCCAACAATGGCACCACAGAACTTTGTGCGATGCCACTGGTGCAGAAACAGTGGATTCGTCAGAGCTATTACTCTGCCAGGAACTGTTGACATTACATCCAGTGGATGTTATAAATACTGTGGACTTAACGAGTAATTTGTCCGGAGTGTCACAGTGGTCGTTGGCAAAATGACTTGGAGGGACACTAGCCACCACTGATATGTAAAATGTCCGTGCATTGAGATAGCACCTACTGTTTGTACTCCGAGCGATAATAGGAACACATTTCCGTTACTGTTGCAAACGATTCCCAAGATGGTGATGTATTTCTCAACGGGTTTGGAGGATACGCAATCATTGTCCTCGTAAAATCATGGTGGCCATTTCTGCCGTTTCACTCCATCCTGAACGTGCCTGGTTTTGCTGACTGAAATTCTTGTTGATAATTGCTGGTCAT